ATTTGAATAAAGCATGAACCCGATTGTCTTTCCACTTTGATGTGAATGTATCTACGTCACCTCCCCCGAATGATTTCTTGGAATAAGCGCACATGTTCGCTCCGAAGCTGCTGGATCCCAATGCGCCAAAAAAAAAAAAATGCTTTTCCGCCCCATCGGTAACTAACATTCCACGTACATTGAAGCCAAAGGTATACCATAACGCCACACACCATAACGCCCGCTGGCAATAATTATGGTAATGACGTCACGCTGATCACGATATTTTGCGAAGAAGGCCGAAGTTGACATTTGTGACCTCATTTGACCTTGAAGATAGTGACCTAGGGTCACTATTTTTCCACAACGTAACTCTCCATACCCATCACCTACAAGTTTCGTATCTTTAGCTTTTTCGGTTTTCAAGATCGTGATCCGCCCCTCCCCCCTTCTACGAGTATGATTGTCAGACCCCCCCCCCCCCACTGCGTGTGTTGTCATTTCTCACTGTCATTTGTATACATTTTCCCCGAGGTGGTTATTATATGCTCTCATATTTAGACAAATGGTTTTCCGTAGGTATTTCTACCCGCACGTAGGCTCATCCCTCCCACTTTAGTTAGTGCGCTTGCGCCAAAATATCGGCTAATGCCTTGATATCTGCCGAAATGGAAGCGCCGCGGAAAACTCGATAAATAATTGTAAAATTGGATTGATTCACGCGGGGTTTGCTATTTTCTTTCTTTTTTGGGGGGGGGGGCAAATTATTTTTTCGTTTTCTCTTATTCATTTTTCTTTCCAGAATAATGTTTTACATTTGGACAATCTCAGCTCATAACATGAGTTTAAAATTTATATTTTATGTTGTCATAGCCTACAATTTCATGAGTTTTGGTCGTCTGTAACTTGTGGCAATAATGTGATTTTTGTCGGCTGATCAAGGAGTGCGGAATGGCGCCATCTGTCGTCTGTACGATCTCAGAATCTTTTGGTCGCGTACGCTTGCGCGCAGAATAACTAAGTGTGCACAAGTGCATTGGCATGAACGTACGTGTCCGGGTTACTCGGGGTTCCGGGTTGCCATAATGTTACTTTGACGATTTTCGAATATCCGGCTTAAAGTTGGGTAGCAACCTGATTCGCTTATGCAGAATATATCGGGGAATCCGGGTTTGTATTGAGGTATTTTCTTCATAGCTCACACTGACTAGAAGTTACAATGTCCTAGAGTGGACGAATTGCAGCATGTCACAATGCAGCTACCAGCTCCTGCATATACAGTGCTCAATTTCAAATGATGATAACATTCATTTTGGTGAATAAAAAACTTAATGCTTGCCGGCCGTTGCTGTGGGCCGTGAGGCTGAGGCGGTGGGACCCGGTGGCGGCGATGGTTTGGGGAAAGCGCTGTCCTCGGTGCGGCGGGAGGGCCCTCAGTCACACACAACCACAGACACATGTTTTCGTTACATACGTAGTGTGGACATTCCTTTGCTTTCGTGTAGTTCAGAAAAAAATCTGCGAAAAAAACCCCTCAATTTACTCACACTGTGAAAACTCTTTCAACCAAATTGTTTTTCTATGATTCCCTTTAGTGTTTCTCTTCATTTTGCCACAGATAAACCTAACCCAAAAGTGCCTCTTAACCTGTTTTCCAAAGAGTGGAAACACTGTGTGGACGTGGGCAAGTCCACACAACGTCGCTGCTACGTGGTTTATGTGGACATATTTTGTTCGAAAGTCCACACAGTGAATGTAATGCTTGTACAGACACACCCCCAAGTGTATATTTGCCTGCAATCGGGGACCCCTATTGTCCATCTTTTGTTTGTACTCTAATTCTTTAGGAAGACCTCGCATATGCTTTGTACACAAATCCAAATTGGGGACCTTTCGAGAATTGGGGACCCCATTGTCCTCTATTGTTCAACGTCCCCTATTGAATGCAGAAACAAAATCATTTGCACTCGCACACTCAGACAGTCACACCTATAAAGGGCGAATAAAAAAAAAATTGAATGACGTTTTGCCTGTACTTTCAAAAAGGAACCTCTAAAAAAAATGCATTCCTATTAGAATTGTTTTTGTTTTGCTGAAACAACACCTCCTTTTGTTGTGATCCGTGGACAGAACTTTAAAACGGTGTTTGTGTTCAAAATTCCGTAACTTGAAAAGTACATGAGTGATTTGAATGATTATTGTACTAAAAGAAAGCTTAATGACTGGTCTCTCATATCATAGAGTTTGAAATCTCTACAGGCAAAATTTATTCAGAAATCGGTCCTGCCATTTGGGTTTCGTTTTTCGACTCGCCGTGTAGTCACGCCCTCTAGCCTCCCACCGTCGCCCACCGGTTATGTGGGATCCTGTGTTGTTATTGTTTTAATTCGTGATAAATGGTTTAAGCAATGTATGGGTAGGTTTGCGAAGCCACATCCGTCTTCTCTTTCGTGTGTGCGTGTAAATACCTGTATATGAACGGAAATGCCACTTCTTTCCGCCTGAACCACGGTATCAACACTATGCAAAATAATTGTCGTGAATATGTAGCGGAACGCCTTGAAGGAGGTCCGCTGAAATTATTAGATTTAAAGACGCCAAGGCAACGAAGACAAACATAATGGAAAGAGGAGTCAAAATGCACTGGTTCCAAATCGTAATTTTTCACAAAGACCCAACACCATTTTTTGCTTTCTAATTCTTAATTCTAATTGCAAAAGCCATGTACTAAGTTGTCTAATAGTTAAATCGCTAGTTATAGTTAAAGTATTTATACTAAAAGTGTAAAGCTCTATTCTGCTATAAAAAATCGCTAGCTGTGAAGTTCTTATAATAATTTTCTACGTTGTTCAGTAGTTAAAGTTCTTAAAATAAAATTACAGTTTAAGGTTCACGAATGCCAGGTCAGTGTACGATTGTAAGGACTCCTTTCCGATTGCACCTGATAAAGAACATTATTTGAGGCACAGATCAAATCGCAAGTGTAAAACATACAACAGTCGCCACATAAACCCAACTTGACAACAGTTTGGCATGCTGCAATAACCGACATGAGATTTGCACGTGAAACTGTTCGGATTAGGATTATACATATTCAACTCAAAATAAACCTTTATAGTGACAAACTTTAAACTAAAACTTCGACCAGCAGTGGAGGGAATAGTGACACAATGAAATGAGAATGTGCAGCAATTCCAAAGTCTGTTCTTTCCAAGTAAAAACGTTGGTTTTAGAGCACAAATCGATCTATGCGATACTGCCACTCTGGTGTGCAGACTGAAAACGACGATTTCCCGCCAACACCACACTGACGGCAGGCGTTTGTAATACATTCATAAAAATAAGTTGGGCAATGTGTCACTGTACGGGGCCTCCTAAAAGACGCTTTCCTATATATATATGAACACACAGATAATAATTCCCATCTTGACATTCTATAGAATTACCGGTTTCTAACACGTTATACAAGTCTGCTTTTTTGCTCCATTTTCTGCCAAATCGACCCCAGTGAAGCTCATGTAATTGATTTTTTTTGAACAAAGCTATTGTTTTCAAAAACTTTACAAAATGACTATTCCCATGCAGTAAATCTCATGTGGAGAAGGCCAATTCGGCCCCAATGATGATCACAAGCTATGCAAGCTAAAAACATGAACATTTTCAGTGCAGGCGAGACTATGATTAAACTCTTTCTGCAACATTTTGGTGACAATAGGTCAACATCTTTAAGGTCAACTGAGGTCAAAAAGAGACATGTTCTGATGATGTAGAGCATGCACAAGCTCACTTCCCACCAGCCGTCATAGTTTTGGGTGATTTTAAGACTGGAGATATTTATCTTGACTCTACGTTTGCCAATAGACACAGTGGGGTCTCCAATTGTGATGTTAACTTTAAACACACTATGACGGGGCTCAGCCAACTGATACATGAACCGACTCGATCTACAATGACTACCGCTAACTTACGTGGCTTGATACTAGTATCGAACATGGAATTTATCCATAAACAAAGGAATATTGTCTGCATTTTCCCACATTAACCAAATGCTAACTTGTGTGTCCCTTAATTGTACCGTATATCACAGAGAACCTGTGGTTCGAATTTTGTTGGGACCATAGCCAAATGAACATTGATCTGTTTGCATATTTACTTATTATCACCGATTGGGATCACTTGTGAAGTAATAATGTGGACGAGGCGGCCAACGCATTCACCAATGAGATTCATGATGCATCAGTTCAATCCAAAGTACTAAACATAATAATAAAAATAATAACAATAATTAACATTTATACAGGGTGTCTCTAAAAGGTAATCCTACTTTAAAGGGTTATTGTGACCGGACTGTATGTTTTCCAACAAAAAGCATGGTGTCATCTTAAAGCCGAAGCTTTGTGCTTTTCAATGATACCTCGGGTTACATTCCAGGGTCACGCATCATGGAGCACCACTGTCTTGAAATTATGGTGCAAAAAATGCAGTTGGTTCACTTTGAACCGATGTCATTCTAGCCTTCAGACAGTGTGTAAACCTCAGGTTGTCACAATGGTTCCGCTAACAGCAGAACAGAGAATCTTTGTGGTCAAGAAATGGCATGAAACCAGAAGTTTGCAGGCTACACAGGATGCCTTTGGAGAAGCTTTCCCAGACCGAGAACCACCAGCAAAGAAAACAATCTGGGCCAATGTGAGAAAGTATGATGCACATGGAACCAGTTTCAACCGCAACAAAGGACGTTCAGGAAGGCCAATGACAGCGAGATCTCAGTAAAACATGGTATGAGAGAGATCCCGGATTTCTTCGCAACGTCTTGATCGGGGATGAGGCTGCGTTTGAATGGTGAGGTCAACGCCCACAATGTTGTTCATTACGCCCCAGCTGGGCATCCACCAGTCTTAAACTTCGAAACAAAGATGAGCAGAGAGAAAGCAAGTGTCTAGATCGGAGTGTGTGGTAATGGCGTGATTATCGGTGCATTTTTCTTTGAGCGAAATGTCAATGGTCAGGCCTATCTCCAAATGATCAATGAAGAGGTTGTGACACAGATGGAGATCCACTTCCAGCGACGGCAAAATGGAATGTTCCGTTATGTGTGGTGGGCTCAAGATGGTGCACCTGCACATCGTCTCATCGCTGTTCGAAATCGCCTCCACGAACCTATTCACGAACGCGTGATTGCTTTGAACTACCCCGTTGAATGGCCCCCGAGGTCACCAGACCATACCCCCTGCGACTTCTTTTTGTGGGGTCATCTGAAGAACAAAGTTTTCAGCACCCCTCTCCACAACATGCAGGATTTGCGTAAAATGATTCATCGTGAGGTGGACAGTTTGCGACAAAATCCACGTACTGTGAGACGAGCTGTGGACGACATGCGCCGTCGGTGTCAACTGTGCTTGGAGAGGGGAGGTGGACATGTGGATGGTCTTGGCCAATGAGAGAAATGCTCCATAATGCGTGACCCTGGAATGTAACCCGAGGTATCATTGAAAAGCAAAAAGCTTCGGCTTTATGATGATACTATGCTTTTTGCTGGTAAACATATAAACATATAGTCTGGCCATAATAACCCTTACCCGGTATAGCGCTTAATACGCAGTGTTTCTAAGCGCTTTACAAAAAGTGAACATTCAAAAGTATATAGTACCAAAGTATACAGGTATTAACAAAAACGTGAAATACAATGTAGTGTAACAACTAAAGAAGTGATAACACTAATAAACCACTAAATACAGGCACTAAAACGTACACAACACATGCAGACACTACATACATACACCCCTACATGCATACACTACTTACACATTAAACATACTAATAATAATCGGCATTTAAGAACGCTCTTATTAGTCAACTTAATCACAGCGCTAACAGTATTATAATTACCCCTGATCACTGGGCCAATTTGGCTTTGACCATCTTTCAGCCAGGGGGGGGGGGGGGGGGGGGATTTTTCTCCCCAAAGATCTCAGCCATCGAGTGACGATTTTGGAATAATGGCTAAATAATTATTCAGATGTACGAATGGTAATTATGCTCTGTGTGCACGACGTATATGGGAAAGTTCAGTTTTCACGACGCGTAGCGCCGGAAAATTTTTCGCTGAGCGACAACCCCTGGTCCAATTTTTATGTTTTTGATATCAAAAGATGCGCAAGGCTCCATACTAAAACGTCATAACAGCTTGGGTCGCAAAAAAGACTCCGCCCCCGGCCCTTTTAGGGTTAAAAGGGAAATGTAAGTATTGTATTTATTATTAAAGTGTTATTTTACCAGGGTAGCCCCAGTTGTCAGTAAACTGTTCTCCCTGGGGGCTCTGGATTACATAAAAAAAAATGATATAATAATGACAAGAATGACCCCCAAAACCACAAACAAAACAAAACAAATGCATCGAACAGTGGCACGTAAAAATCTCTTAAAAATCACTTCAAACTAAGGTAACCGAATTGGTGTAAATTACGTTCTACGCGCGCACGCGTGATATTCACGTGAAAGCGTTAATATGATTTTTGTACACAGTCCCTTGGTTATAATGTGTAATTTTACCCGTTTTAATAACGCAGCTTGCCTAATTTTGCACTACGTATAAACAAAAACGTAAAACGCACGTTAGTAGCTCGTTGTATTAATACGTTCTGCACACCTAATAAAAACGTTATTGTCAGGTTTTTTAATCAGGTTTTGCACACCTAATATATACGTGAATCGTTCGCTCTGTGATCACGTTTTGCACGACTTATAGTTACGTTACCAATTGTGTGTGAATTACGTTAGGCACACGCTTGATAATCGCGTGAAAGCGTTAATGCGATTTTTCTGCACAGTCACTTGATTTCAATCAGGTTAAAAACACAGTAATATTACCCGTTTAAATATCACCAATTGCTCGTTCTTGTACAAACGCTTAAAAACGCAAAACGCTTATTATTACGTGTTATTACGTTTTGCGCACCTAAAGAAAACGTTGTTGTCTGTTCTTTTATCAAGTTTTGCACACCTTATATTCACGTTATTGCTGCGTTCTTTTGTCACGTTTTTGAACCCCTCCTAGTCACGTTACCAATGTGGTGTGAATTGAGTTTAGTTATGTTAGCAATTTCTGAGGTTCGGCGATACGGTTTCTGAAACTCAATTAATATTGGTTATTATTCAGATAATTATTAAAATCAATTTATATTGGTAAGTATACAATATACACATATAACGATATTTTAATGGTCATTGGTCCTCTGATTATGCCCCTTCTCCAATCTAAGAAGGTGCTTACTTGGTATATGTGTGCCTCTCGACCACCGTCGTCTGTAGTCACAGTCTGTAGTCACAAATATTTTATTTGTTTTGTTTGGGGCTTTTTTTGGCAAACTTGTTTCTTTGAGACTTTGATTAGCTAAATATTATAACATTATCTACATAAAAACATCCTAAAACATAATGCTATTACGCAAAACATATCGTTCATGGCCAAAAAATAACACAATTGTTTCACCAAGGTTTACAATGCCCACCTTAGGTCAACATGTAAATTAAGGTCACAGTAAAACAATCTATTGGTCTTTAAAAAACGAACAAAAAAAACATTTTAAACACACTAAATAATTACGTTATGTAGAGCAGTAAGATGCCTAGGTAAATGACAAGACACAATAACGTGAAGATCACTAATGAATTACTGATAATTGTACAACCAAAATCCATTGGTCTTTAAAAAACGAAAAATGAACCTTTTACACACACTAAATAATTACGTTATGTAGGGCAGTAAGATGCCTACGTAAATAACAAGACACAATAACGTGAAGATCACTAGTGAATTACTGGTAACTGTACAACCCAATCCATTGGTCTTTAAAAAACGACATAACAACCTTTTACATACACTAAATACTTACGTTATGTAGAGCAGTAAGATGCCTAGGTAAATAACAAGAAACAATAACGTGAAAATCACTAAAGAGTTACTGGCAACTAAAAAATCAAATCTATTCGTGTTTTAGTTACAAAAAAATTACTTGTTATATACACCAAATAATTACGTCAAATACAGTGGTAACTAGTCTAGGTAATGAATACATAATAATACCGTTATAATCACAGGAAATTCGTGGTAACTGTAAAACCAGAGGTAGGGTGCTTCAAAAGCAAAATAATCTCCTTTTGTAACCACCAGATAGAGACGGTTTAAAACATATAATTTGGTCAAGTGAATATGTAGTGATCATAACGCGATTCGCACTAGTAATTAAAACCTTCCGGAATCACTTTTCCTTATTCGCGTGATTAGTAGGTAATTTCCAAGTGTCATTGGAACGAGAAAACATAGTTCCGTTTATAATTAATAAAAAATTACGTTATAAAATCGCGAAAATTTGGTTTCAAAACTTCCAAACCAAACATTCACTAAAAACTCCCTCCCCAAAACAGGTTCTTTTCTGGTGTTTTGTTTACTGGGATATCACCATAAAAAACAAGGAATTTTAACCACACAAAAATAAAACCATAGATTAAAACAGACAATGTAAAGATAAAAAGATTTAAAATGGAACATTAATCCTGAATTACAAAGTTGCATTATCTTGTTAAATATGAAAGTGTGACATTGCTTGTTGGGAAAAAAAAACAAACGCAATGGCTTATACAAAACTGCCAAGCAAATAAACAGACACAGAGCATGACTAGACCAGGTGGAAATAATTTCGTTACGGATCTTAATCGTTGATTCGTAAAACTGCTGATTTCAGATTTGACCCTAACTTATTGATACCTCGTGTTGGCATCTTCTAAAATGGAGGATTAAGGGTGTTTTATCTTTGCAAATCACAAAACACCTCCTCGTCAATGACTCTTAATTCAGTTAGAGCCGCGAAACAAAAGCAAATGGGTTGCATAACATTCCGGGCGAATCAAATAAACCTAATTTCAATCATCAAGTGACATATAACCCTCCCCCATACATACGATATACCTTACTTAGATGTAGGTCAAAAGTGGCCTCACCAGAGTTCAGCTGACCTCAAACTTCACGGAGTTTGATGAATTTAGTTGCGGTAGGGATTCAAGAGATAGGTACGTGTACAGAGTGTATTTGTTTCCATGCACATATAAATTCTATATTCACGTCATTGAAAGTGCATAATAGATCGCTTGCCCAGGAACGAAAGGAGAGCGGGTGCAAAAACCACGCTAAGGCTTCGGTTAATTTCTCACACGAGAGGGGGGGGGGGGGGGGCTGCAGCCTTCTTCCTGTTACTATGCCTACATGAGTACAATACACAGATTAGTCTGCATCCGACGCACAAATACTACACATCATATGTACTGACACATACTGAAAATTATGACTAAGTAGCTATTAAGAACAGGAGCACCATGCTACAATACCACCAGACTATCGCATTACTTACACACCTAACATCAAAATGTAACACAATGAATCGACGACCAAACACTCAAGAGCGGGACAGCTTGCGTGGGTCAAAAGAAAGAACTTTCTTTGAGCAGCTCTGGTACAGCTGTGCGTAGTGCGGTACATAAATCAAAGGCGGACTGATTTAGGCAGAACTTGGGGCAGCTGCTGCAGCTAGACCGTGCCGATGCCCCATGTATCTATCACTGAGTAAGAGATGTATTTACAAAGGTCTAGTTGTTTGTCAATGTACGTCATACCATGGTAATACATCAAGTGTAATACACCTTGGATATCGAAAATAGTGAGCAAATCCACTGAAAACTCACAGTGTTATATATAACACAAAGCTGAAATTCGACGGCTCAGTGAGCAGGTGCAGAATTTTTCTTAAATTCTCAAGACGACGAACAAGTTGTCCCCCGTACGGACATTTAGACCTTCTGTCACAAAAACGCACTTGATCTGGCAGTCAAAAGCCGCTGTAAGTGGGAGTTCCATCTTCATCACTTCTACAACAAGCATAGTATCGCCCTTCTTCAGATGACACCCTTCTTGTGTACTTATTTTCCAAATGCTGCCTCCGCTTTGTGCCATTACAAATTCTTCTCCTTGGCCAAGCTCATAATCGTCATCTTTCTGTTCTTCTACATCACTCGTCATTGTATTACTGCCAATAAACCCCTGGCTTTGCCACAACTTCACCTCTTTGTCGAGATATGTTTGTTGTCGTTCACGGAATAATTCAATTGAATCTTTGTGCTCTTCGATGAAGGCTAGGTAATCCCTCAGGTCAAATGTTACATCTTCCACCCGCAGGTCCAGAGTGCCACACTCAAACTCCCGCCTCAGCCGCACCAGCTCCTCCGCCGTACAATCATAGAAACGGATCTGGTCAAAGCAACGCATAAACCATGGGTTTTGCCCGAAGACGGCGTGTTTCGGATGTTTCTGGAAAACCCCCAGAGACCGTCCCACCAGCTGGTAGCCGCCAGGTGACGAGATGCCGTAGGAGCAGAGGTAGCTGCCTCCGATCCCGATCGTGCCGTCCTGCGTCCACGTGCGAGCCGGGTTGTACTTGCTGGTGATGAGACGATGGCGCGGGTCCACCGGTACTGCCGCCACACTGGACATGTACACGTCGCCCAGACCCAGCACCAGGTAGTTGCTCTCCAACAGGATGCGCTTCACTTCAGCAGGGCCTCCCTCTAGGCCGTTCATTCGACATATGAAGTCAATATTGGACGGCAGGTAAGGTTTTGTCAGCTGGTTCTTGCAGACACTTTTCGTGTATTTTTTGATAGCAGTTTCTACGCATGGGTCGTCGAATGACAGTGGTAAGTGTACAACGCGTGACGGCAGGCACGGCGTAGCGATTTCGTTCAACTCAGCTTCTATGCAGGTTAACATGTGCAGAAGGTCACTCACATGCAATTTCTGGGACTCATAGTTCACCTGCAGGGAGCGGATTCCCGGACAAAGCTCCGTAATCATGATCTCGCCTTTGGCCTTGATGGCGTTGATGAGCTTTTCTATACGGAAGCGGTTGGGAATGGACAGTTGGTCGTCGCCGTACTGCACCAGTACACTCATGTCGCCCTGGCAGCGGTACTCCACTCTTGGCTGTCCTGTCTCCACATCGGCTGGGATGGTCTTCAGAATTCCACCTGCATTTGCAATGTCCAGAACGCTACTTTGCTCCGGTTCATCTGTATCTGCCTTGCAGTATATGTCGCTGATAAGCTTATCTTGGATGGCACGAATCCTTACGGCTTCAGCATATGTCACAGGCTGGAAGCGAACCTTGTCGCCTGTTTTGAGCTGACCGATCTTCCAAAGTTCAGCTTTGATGACTGTGATATTTGTTACAAAGCCTCCCAGACTGGGTCCGTCGACTCCGATGATGATAGGAGTGTCGCCGGTGAAATTTAGAGAGCCGATTTGGTAGACATAGTCGTGGAGATTACTCGGATGTAAGCCGGCTGTTCCTCCAGACTCCCGAGTCCATGTGAGTGACTTACCCATTAGACGAATCCCCAGCCGGTTGGAGTTGAAGTGAACCTCGTAGGTTTCGTTGAAGAACTGGCTCATAGAGGACTCTGATACATATTCTTCACTCGCGAAAGGCCCAATCATGCATTTCAGTTTCCAGTTGTCCTTCATCTGGTCTGGATGGCTGAAGCGGAGTATATCAGCTGGTGTCGGCTTAGGGATTGGGACGCTGCCATCAGCCTTATCTTGTAGCCATAGATAGTCGGCCACTTTCAGCGTTCGTCCAAGACCACCTAGTGGAAACGCACTGCTGCTTCCCAGATATTTGGCAGTACGAAATCCACCTTGAACTGCCAAATAGCATCTCAGTCCCGTTCTCAGCTTGCCGATTCTCAGCACGCTTCCTTGAGGTACTACCATCTCAGTGTACATGTTGATTTGCGCGTCGTTCAACGTCGCGTCCACTCTTCCACCTGTAAGACATATCACACTGGGCGAATGGAATTTCAGATCAGCTCCACTCAGTGTCATTTCTAGTACTGGTGCGTCATTGGAGTTGGACAGAATTGCGTTAGCAATGTTGGAATTCAGCGAGTCGTATGCTCCACTCGGTGGGATTCCTATCTTCCAGTAGCCGGGTCGGCCGCAGTCTTGAATTGATGAGTAGAACCCAGGCGAAACAACTTCCACCGCTTTGCTGGTGTACTGAAAGGTCTTGAGAAAGCTTGTCTGCATGAAGCCCATCTGAAATTCGTGTGATTCCAAGATTGCATTCAACTGCTCCAAGTTAGTTTGAACGCCATACACTGCTGTCTGCTTAACAATTGCTATCATGCGCTGTATCGCCTCTGCCCGATCCTTGCCAGTGGCAATCAGCTTAGATACCATGGGGTCGAACTTGCCACTGATCGCAGTGCCGTTTTCGATGTAGTTTTCAAGACGGAAGCCATCGGCCTCTTCAGGAAAGGAGACGCTTTCTATTTCACCGACAGAAGGCGTGTAAGCCTTCAGTGGATCTTCAGTGTTCAGGCGACACTCGATGGAGCAACCGCTTTCACGCAAGGTTCCCTTGTCCTTCAAATGACTTGGACGCCACATCTTGTCAGCCGCAGAACGCAACTGCCACTCAACCAGGTCAATGTCAAACACCTGCTCTGTTACAACGTGCTCAACCTGAAGACGAGTGTTGACTTCGAGAAAGTAGTATTCATCCGAGTCACTGTCAAAAAGCCATTCGACCGTACCCGCATTCCAGTACTCCACTGATGTGGCAAGCTCTGTCGCATAGTGTGCAAGCTGTTTTTCCGCGTCTGTGTGTTGCTTTAGGTACGGACTAGGACACTCCTCGATGATTTTCTGATGTCGCCGTTGGATACTGCACTCCCGCGTGCCGACAACGCAAGCTGTTTTGCCGAAGCCGAAAATTTGTGTTTCGATGTGTCGTGCGTTGCGTATGTATTTCTCCAGAAAAAGACCGTCATTCCCGAAATGGTTCTTCGCCATTTGCTTTACTATGTTGAAAGCATTTGGGAGCTCCTCTGGGTGTGTACAGATAGTATGTGCTATACCACCGCCTGCTGCAGTACCTTTGATGATGACGGGATAGCCAACAGTGTTTGCCACTTCTAGCGCCTGCTCGACTGAAGTTAAAAGCCCAGAGCCTTCAATGATAGGTATACACGCAGCCTTGGCGATGGATCTCGCAACGTCTTTCAGGGCGAAGGATCGCATATTAACAGCTGTGGGACCCACAAAGGTTATATTGTTGGCTTGACACGCCTCAACGAGTTCGGGCGTTTCCGATAAATATCCGTACACAGGGTGGAGCGTATCAATTGAGTTAACAACAGCAATATTAATGATTTGTTGTATGTCTAAATATGGCGACCTTACTTTATCAGAGTTTTCGATTCGGACTGCCTTGTCTGCCTGCAACAGGTAGCCGTTCCTCTCGTCCTCTTGCGCGTAGATGCATAGAACATACATGCCGCATGCCTTAGCTGTGCGTAGTACGCGCGCGGCGCCCTCACCACGGTTGGCGATCAGCAGCCGCCGACCAGCCAGCAATGAGGGCGCCTCGTCTGGTGATGTCGGCCTTTTTGGCACACCTGCGTCCATGGTATCGTCATGCAGGTTTAGCTGCGCCAGATTGACCGTTCCGTGGCGAGTTGTCGTCGGACAGCTCTTCGCAATTCAGGAGGAAGGTGGGTGCGCCCTAAGGGGATCCAGTCTGGGAAAAAACGGAAGGTAATTATCAATCATCAGACTAAATTTGTACGTACATCACCTTTTTTTACTACCATATTCAAGCAAATAGAGTATAACTTCATTCCTTTGACATATTCAGCCAAACAGATTCAGGTAGTATCATGACATTTGAGCAAAATAAATACCCAGTAATGACGTCACAAATGACGTCATGTTTTTGCAAACTTCATCAGTCTCATGCACTTTCAGCTGCGTATGTGATTTAAAAGATACTGAAGTTAAATAATGAGTGGTGGCAGTCATTCCAAATAGGTCGCAGATTGCCATACGGAGTCAGGGGACCTTCTGTAAGATCATTATAGGACAAATCGACCCATGGAAAATGACGTAATTTGTTGCAATACATTTGCATTTCTTAGATTCTTACTATGAGCGACACGAATCGTAAGGTCCGATACGAATTATGTGTTATGCGATCCTAAGTCCCAAATCGACCTGCTCTCTCACCCTGGTATTGGATCATTTGCATGTGCAAGATTTTTGAACACGTACGCAAATGATGAATAGTCTGGTGCCTGCATGTGCGTTACATTGGCGTTTGTTTTTGTATGCGGTGTCTAGGGTAAAAGCAGCATCAATTCGTCGCGCCGTGAGTTATGAGAACACGTTTTTTTAGTTAAAATGTTACAATCTGGCCCGCCAATATGCAGAGTCACATTTCATATTAATATGAGCAAACTTGAAAGAAAAGGAGTAATTTTGAGAAGGTGTGGACGTTATAATTACAATGATCGTGAAAAACACGTAATGCACGTTGAAAATAACAACACGAACTACACGATATAAATCCATTATTAGCAAATTGCGGTAACGAATCAGGATACAAGAAGAAAGTTTCCTATCAAGGGCTTACTATTGGAAACTAGGTTGGAAATAAAGTAAGCACTGGGGACGAGGTTGACTATTTATATATTTCGTTTGACCTGACCTGTGACCTCATCGGTGACCTCGAGGTCAACGAAATGTATTTTCTGTCGATGAATCATCTCCCACTTTTCAAATCTGCGCAATCGGTTCATTGGCTCCCATGATATAAAATTAGCCCACCTCCAGTCGGTGGAAGGTTACAAAACGTGCCAGTCAGTCGCGTGACATTACGCCCCCGGCACACGACAGATAATACTTTAGCTTTCAAAAAAAAAAAAAAACGGCTATGACTTTCGTTTGACCCTTCCCTATTTTTGGGAAAGTTACGCGCCCCTGGACGCAGTTGAGTTCACATGTGACACTAGGTCGTCCTTGTTTGCAGGGACCCATACGTGTATCTTTGTGATTTGTAGTGAGTAGGTACTTGCCAGGTGGACCTGAGGTGACAGCACCTTTCAAAAAGTATGTGTGAGGGGGGTTAGGCCATTGATTCGAAAGAGCTCATTTGATTTGTCTGTCAAACATGGAGGACCATGACAACACCGAGTCGGACAGTCCCTCACCTTCCTCTTTACACATAAATACACAGGGAGGGAGAGGTGAGTTCGTTTGGCCCATAAGGAGTATAGTTTTGGTGTTTAAACATTCATTTTTAGGGTCAAGGAATGCAACTGTACCATTTTGGATAGCGTCAAACGGTTAGTTTGTCCAAATACAGTATTGTGGCCATCTTGTATTTGAAACATGGCCACCATTGAAAATCTATATCTACGAATACATGAGTTGCATCTTAAAGCCACTAAGGATCTAAATCTTGGTGTCTAAACATATATTTTCAGGGTCAAGGAACGCAACTAAACCATTTGGGTTAGTGCTTAATGGTTTATTTGTCCAAATACATTGCGGCGGCCATCTTGGATTTTAAAGATGCCGTCATTGAAAACCTATATGTACCAATATATCATCTTCGAAACCACTAAAGAATACAATTTTGGTGTCTAAAGATCCATTTCCGGGGTCAAGGAATTCAACTGTAATACATGTACATGCACATGTATTTGGAATCATGTCAACTGGTCAGTTTGTCCAGATACGCTATATGGTATGCCATAAAAGGACCAACACTGGCCCGATTCAGGCCTTATGCCGTCATTTCATCATGGTTTATCGTTATATGAACTGCAATGGCCCGGTTCAGGCTGTGCGCCATCTTGCTGTTATGGTTTGTCTTAAAAAGACCAGCACTGGTCCGTTGCAGGCTCTGAATGGTGTTACCATTACCGTTTGCCACTTAATAGGGCGAGCACTGGACCAATTCCGACTCTGTGGTGTCTGTACCGTCAACACGGTTTGGGCGCAATTGCGCCAGCATTATTGCCCGCGGTCTTGTACCGTTTAAACTGTATGGTACTGCCATAACAAACCCATAATTAGTATCGGCCCAATACCGTCCTGTTTACTGTGTCAATGCCATCCTTGAACCTAGGCAGGTAGAAATCTCTGGCACTACAGGGTGTGATACAACTCTGCCTCTCCACAACTACATGCAGCTGAATTTTGATTAAAGCGAATCTTTGATCGGCTAGTCCTGGTTCTCAAGCGGCTGATAGTTTTCAATTGAACCCATTTCGATGTAGCAGTTATAGTATAATCATGACAATCGGTGGGCGTTTGCTCCCAGTCGTTGCTTCCAGTGTTGGAGTCTTGCCACTTCCCTGGATTTTGGGGAAGGAGTGGACATGGCCGGGGAAGCTTTCTTGACTTCAGTTTTTTGTGCCGAAGTTTGCCGTCCGTGGAGGAGGCGACACTCGTCATTTATCAATATTTGGACATCTTAGCTCAGCTTGCAACTTCCCTTCGGAAATCCGAAGAGAAAATGCCAGCAAAGATGTGCAAATTACTTGTGTTGGTGGGTTTCAAGCATCCAGTGATCAAACTGCATGTTGTGTAAGGCTTGGTCAGATTTCATGGTATGGGCTGATCTTTCCCAAACGGGGCACGCATACTCTCCTAAAGAATGGGACGGAGCTAAAACGGTTCATCTTAGGGTGTGGGGTTTGGTTCCCCATTCGGAGGTTGTTCAGTTTCCTTATGACGTTGTAACGGGGAATTGAATTTGGATGACTTGACCCTGAAAATGTATGTTTAGACACCAAAACGTTATTCCTAAGTGGTTTTCAATGGCAGCCATCTTTAAAATTCAAGATGGACGCCATAATGTAATAGGATAAGTTGGTTCCTATCAAAATTGAAAGCTAAGGCATTGAGCACCATGTATGGAACATTTGACGCTTTTGTCCAGAATATCCACATCTATTTCAAAAGCTGGCCTAAGCTGCCTGAATATATTCAGAAGTTGCGTTTAGGGCCTGTTCCAATGGAGAAACGTAGTTAATCTACATTCATAAATACCCAAGACAGTTTATCCATTCCCATTTTTCGAGAGCCCGTCACGTGGCCGGCCTTAAACGGATAACAACATAGCTGGCTGGTCTTAAACACTTGTACAGTGTCACATGAAATTTTGTCACCTATGAAATCCAGTGCCTTTTACCGTTGTATTGGTTGAACGTTCACAATCCCCACGTAGGCATGCGCAATACTACCAGCGAGGCAGTATTTCATAGTCCTGACGCGCGCGCCAATCTCCATGGAGAAGTTGTTTACTACTTATTTGCGAGCTCGAAACTCCATCATCTAGCTAGAGGGGTGTTTAAAAAACAACCATGAAGTAAATTTTTGAACAAAATCGTTGGAGATCTTTTATTTTTTTATTTTAACTTGTTTGACTTTTGTACAGAAAAGGTTTGGTTTTTCTTGACCGAAAAATTATTTATAAATATGTGCTTGGTCGGTATTAAACACTATCTTAAAGACTGGTTGGAGTCTTTATGCTGATAATTACCCTTACATTTGGCTCGGGTAATTATCAGCATCCAGACTCCAACCAGTCTTAAAAATTGTCTTAAGCACCTCCCAAGCACACATCTATTCCCTTAATCAGCCGTGTGGTTGCGAAGGGCTAAGACCTTATTTCGAATGAAACTACCTGCACACAGACATGTTTACGTTGGTGGGCGAAATCTTTGAAAAGTATAGTGTAGATTTTCGTCACGTGCTCAGAAAACGGACCTAAAACATCGTGTCCCTCACAGAGAGGTTTATTTTAGCCTAAAATTCCCATTTATAGCAAAGAAAATGACACAATATACCGAGGGTGGATTAGGCCAATAATGAATTTAGAGAACGTCATGCGACCACATCATGAAAGCCTGTGACCTATTTGGACTGACTCTCACGCATTATCAACTACGGTATCTCATGACACATATCACACACACGGATGTAGTTCAGAATGCCTCAAAACGATGAAGTTTCCAAAACAAGACGTCAATTGTAACGTAATAATTAAGTAACATTATAACCCTGACCTCACATTTTGGCTGGATATGTCAAATAAATGTATACACAGGTACCCAATGTTTCATCTCGATATCCCTATTCGTTATAGATGCGGCAGCCGAAAAACCAAGGTGGGAGCACCCCCTCCCCTGGTCGCAAATGTTTTTCTCCCAAACGACATCCGCATATGGCTGTACGCTATGACGTTTTTGACTTATCTTTTATAAAAAAAACATGATGAAAATATGAAATGAGAAAAAAAAGGGAATTTGAACGTTACGAAATTCGGACTTCATTTCCCTTTTTAACAAAATCCTTCAAAGCCTTAGGTTAGAAAAGGAAAAAAAAGCGGGTGCCAAACCAAAATTCGAACCCGCAACCTCGCAGTGTAAAATCCTAAGCTATATCGACTGAGCTGTTGCACTGCTCGCCAAAACATGGGGAAACAAATAATTATGTACCTGCATGCGTATCATAAGACTATCATAGAGGGCGCTAAACAACCCCGTATGCGGATTTCCTTTGGGAGAAAAAAATTCGCCCCCGGTCAGTGCACATGGGCCAGTGGCCTTCAAAGCAAG